TTTTAAGAAATTGCAATGATAATCTCTCAAATAGGAAGAAAGGTGCCTGGACCGTTAAGGTCGAAAAGGCAGACCAACAGGAGCATCTGGTACAACACCATGTATAATAGTAGAATCTGGTGAAATATAAAACAGAGTTGGATCAACATTAGGCATGGCTGGGTCAATAATATGCATGACTGGTACAATGTCAGTAGGTTGAGTTGTAGCAAGATCAGAATCTGAAGCAACAATGGTAGGACACTCACAGCCAGCAACATCAGCAGCAATGGGAACAAGCGCAACAGCCAAAGGATCAGTAGCAGTAAGAGTGGGCAAAGTAGCAGATGAAGGCCCTTTGGATATAAAAGCAGGCAGTATAAATTCAGACAAAAAATCAGCAATTGAAGTACTATCAGTCTGAACCACACTATGAAAAGGGAACAAATCTTCAAAAAATAGAACATCACGTGAAACAAAAAATCGTTTCTAGGTAATATCATAAATTTTATACCCCTTAATACCAGCTGGATATCCCATAAAAACACAGGGTCGAACTCTCGGATCAAATTTCGTGCGATGTAATGGCAAAGTAGAAGTATAAGCAAGACATCCAAATGTGCGTAAAGAAGCATAATCAAAGTCTTTTTTAAACAAAAGATTATAAGGTGATGCATTGGAGAGCAATGACATAGGTGTACGATTAATCGAATGAGCAGCAGTAAGTACACAATTACTCCAAAAATGGGAAGGGACCCAAGACTGAAAAAAGAGAGCTCAAGCAACATTAAGAAGATGTTGGTGTTTTTGTTCGACAACCAAGTTCTGTTGAGGTTGATCAACACAAGAAAACTGATGTAAAGTCCCTTTAAAAGCAAAGAAATCAGTGAATCGAAGCTCGAGAACGTTGTCAGAACGAAATATCTTGATAAGCTTAGAAAATTGTGTCTCGATCATCTTAAATCAAGGGACCATGGTTAATGCATCAGATTTACACCGCATGAGATACACCCAAGTAAAACGAGAGAAATCATTCACTAATGTTAAAAAATATGTATAACCATTCGAAGTAAGGGTATTAAAAGGACCCCAAACATCACAATGTAATATATAAAAAACAAAAGTAGCAACATGATTATTTGCAGAAAAAGAAAGGCGACGTTGCTTAGCCAATGGACATATATGGCAAACAAAAGAAAACAACCACCAGTAATATGTAAAGATTGTTTAACAAAGCAAGTCGAGCAGGAGAGAAATGTCCCAACCATTTATGCCAAGTATCTATAGAAGCATGTCAAGCAAAAATTGAAACATCCTTAGGAGCAGAATTGAAAGCAAATGAAGTGAAGGAGTGTAAAGTCAACCCACGCAATCAGCCTTGCCCATCATGTTGAAGCAAGACACTCACAGACAGAAGATTATAAGTGAATTGAGGAACAAATAGCACGTTATGGAATATAAAGTCTCCTGATAATTGAACAGTTTCAATAAGTTCACGGGAATTCGAGATAATGTAGGCAAGACAACAATAATATTAGTAGTAGGGTGCAGATCCAGAAAAAGAAACTTTTGATGGCAAATATGACTAGAAGCGAATCAATTATCCAAGAACTAAAGCCATTAAAAGCAATTGAAGAGAACATTGAAAAAAATGTACCTGCAACATAAGACACATTAAGATGAGATTGTAGCATCTCCAAAAAATACAGGCTAACTATTGGATGGCTGAGAATTTCGGTAGGATGAGGCAACAAAATTCTTCTCCAGAGCTTGATTAATCATGCTTGTAGCAGTAGAATTAGAATGTGTTGTATTCGACCGAGCAGCACTGAAATTATTGCAGTTTCCAAGTGGATATCCGTATAATTTGTAGTATTTATCAATGACATGGCCTCGAAGTCCACAGTGTGTGCAATAGGAACAATTATCCCTTTTTTCGAAATTGATTAGCGTTTTTCTTCTTTGAAGCTTCAACAGCAGCCATGACCATAAATTCAAGAGAAAAATTACTTGTGCCAACAATACGTTGACGTTCTTCTTGAATAAGTAAGGAAAATACCTTGTTTATCGGAGGAATTGGATCCATGAGGAGAATTTGAGCCCTAATAGTGGCATATGATTCGTTATGGCCCATGATAAAGATCCTGACGTACTCTGAGAAAAGAAATTCTAACAGTGACTTTGATCCGTCGCATTTGAAGTCAATTGATGGTCAATACTCCATGAGTTCTTGCCGTCTTCAATTGTGTAATAAAGCTCAATCGACATCGTACCTTGTACACTGGTAACCAATTCCTTACGAAGCTTAAATATCTGTGGGCCATTGCTTTGTTGAAAACGCCCATTGAGTTTATCCCAAATGTCTTTGGCAGAACCAATGTATACGATGCTTGCGACTATTTCTTTGGAAACGGAATTTATAATCCATGATGCCACAATTGTTGGGAAATTGAAGACCCTGAATAATTTCCCCTTCCACAAAAATATCCAAACACAACCAAAATGTATGAGGATTCCCCTAATGACTTGGCGCTCCCACCCAAGTCTGTTGCCACACTAGAAACAGAACCCGCACCCTTCAATGCACTAATTCGCCTATGCGACTTCACCAGCTCGCCTGAACGTCTGACAGCTGAGATATGAACTCGATGGCCTATCAAATTCTTGTTTCCCTTTTCTGTACTTCTCAACTGTTTTACTTGAGCTGATGGCAGATTCTTCTGATCTGTTCTGGCCATCATTGCTGTTGATCCTCTAAAGTCTCGCCCTGAACTATCTGCAGCTACTCTGTGCATCATCTGTCTCAGTGAACCCTTGGCAACCCCAAACTCTGACACATAAACAGAAGATCTCTTGTGGCCTGTTGCCACCACCCTGGATTCCCTCTTGAGCTTCCAGCAACCCCCATTAAACTCACTGTTGTAGCCATCGTCATCTAGCTTCCCTGCGGATAACAAATTAAATCTGAAGCTAGGAAGATACCTAACACCTCGTAGCACCAACTCGTCCCCTTTGCCTGTCTTCAAACAAACATCTCTAATTCCTCTCACCTTGGAGATACTCTCATTCCCCATCTTCACTGAGCCATAATCACCTACAGTAAGAGATGAGAACAAACGTCTGTCTGAAGCAACGTGCGCTGATGCTGCAGTGTCAACCACCCAATGGTCTACAGATATGTTCCTCTGAACACAAGCCAGAAACTCTTCAATCCGTTCTTCTTCTGTTACAACATTTGCAGTAGTGTTCCCCTTCTCAACCACCCACTGGTATATAGCTCTGATACCATTTGTTGGGAAATTGAAGACCCTGAATAATTTCCCCTTCCACAAAAATATCCAAACACAACCAAAATATATGAAAATAGGAAGAAAATTGTAAAAGCACAAGAATAACGACACAGCAAATTATACTGGTTCACCACTAAGGGCTACGTCCAGTCTTCCACTCATATGTAGGTAATTCACTAATAATTGTTTAAAGATTAGAATACAAAACTCTCCCAAAAAATATCCCCTAGAGGTCCCAACAAAAGCCCTCTAGCTTCTAAGTATTATAACACACTATACTTAGGTACAGGAATGAAAAATACTCACTAAACCCACTGGATATAGAATCCTTTTCAACACTGCCCACAACCACTCAAGTCCCTTTTATTTGGATTCTGTACAAATGAAACATTAACATAAAGGCTCTATTTATAAGAGGCCAAATATCCTAATTCTTATAGGAAAACAATATTGTAATCCTTATAAGACAACAATATCCTACTCCCGGTAGGAATTTGTAATACTGTTGAAAAATCCTTTTCTTCATAGGATATGTGTATCCTATTTTGGTTCCATAATCCCAACAACAATATTATTATTACATTTCCATGTTGCAAGTAGATTTCCTTCGGGTTTCTTGATGGTGCCATCAACAAAACGTGTTTTGTTCTTTCCAGAAAGCACGATGAACATAGATCTACGCTAAGAATTGTAATTACTTGCTCCTATTAGTTGCTGAGTGACCAAGACAGTGGTTGGTGCAGTTGAATGATGAATTAGATAGGGAGTAAGCTGAGATTCTATAAGTTGTTGAGAAGAATCTATGACCTTCGTCTCTATATCTTTTCCAACTGCACTTTTGTTTCCTTTGCCATAACAAAAGTCAAATAAAATCTCTATACTATTGTCTCGTCACGGATTAACAAACGAAATTGATTAAGAAAAAAAATTGCAATCGTAGCGATTAAATGTAGAAGAAGCAATTGCGCAAGAATTTTGCTTTGATACCATATCACGAGATACACAGAAAAAGAGAGAGAAGGATTCTATTATTAAATAATGAGAATAACACACTTCTCTTAAGTATATAAATATAGTCATGGTTAGTTTGTCAATAACAACCCAAACTAATTACCAAGATTATAGTAACAAATTAGATTACACAGTAATAAAGTATAGTTAGGTCTAATGATGTATTCGACTGCTCAATTTTATAGAGCCCTCTAAGTGTGCCAGTGATTTTCTGAGCTAATCTAATCAATAATCTCTAACCAACAAAAATAGATAGATAGGTTTTCGATGTCAGTTTATGCTACAAACTGATATCGACCCACTGTTGATCACCCCTACCTCATATCATTAGAAATGTAAGATTGTTAATGATGAATAAACTACCATTCAACCCAAAAGCTTAAGCTCATGGGTTGGGTAAATTAAATTCATTTATGGATATCTAACAAGCAATATCTAGATAAGTCTAGCTATCCTCATGTTAGCATAACTAAATACATTGCATCGCAATTTAGATGTTATAATATACAAGTAGTTTTAGCAGAGCTTATCTAAAAATTAAAAAAAAAAGTTTTTAACAAAACTTATACTATTTGTTTCGAAAATTAAAAGTAGCTAAATCTAATATTTAAAAAACAATCAAAAACCAAAAGCCAAAAAACGAAAATATTATAAGATATTTCTTCACAGTTATCCACTGTTACCCCTCACTGTAAGTAAACAATTTAGGTCAAAGGAGGTGGCTCATCAATCGAGGTTTAGAAGATGGTTTCATTATTAGCTTTCGAGGCAATAAATAGCCTAAGTAGAATGAGAAAAAAAAATAGTACCCTAATGGGCAAAAGGAAGGAAACAAAATAAGGCTCAACCAAGACAATCAGCTTATAGAAATAAATAATTAACCACAATGCTAATTAATGAAAGACAACACAAAGAGCATACACGGGGACACGACTTCTCATCTTCCTCATGTTCTAACTTCACCCCTCAAACGATACGGAGCTTCCAGCATGTTGAGTTTGTTTCTCATCTCTTTGAATTTTGCTTCTGATAAACTACCGTATATCCAATTGCTTTGCCAGCACCGTGTCTCGAATGAAATGGAGGTCAATTTCGACGTGCTTACTTCTTGAATGAAGAACTGGGTTGGCGGCTAAAGCAAGATTACTGGTGTTATCACACCAAATTATTGGAAGAAAGTGCGGCAACAACCCAATTTCCTTTAAAATTGATTGAGTCCAGCTTAGTTCGGCAGTGGCGTGAACGAGGGCTCTGTATTCGGCTTTGGTGCTTGACCGAGTCACCACCTTTTGTTTTCTAGAGGCCCACGAGATCAAGGAGTTTCCAAGAAACACAAGATAGGCTAAAATTGAACGTCGATCGTCTGGATTGCAGGCCCAGTCAGCATCCGAAAAGGCAGTAAGGTGCATTTCATTTAAAGCCCTTAAATGTAACCCATGATATTTCGTTCCCTATAGATATCTTAGTACTCTTTTTGCAGCTTTCCAATGTGTTACAATAGGTTCTTGCATTAATTGGCTAAGCTTGTTCACAATAAAAACAATTTCTGGTCTGGTATGTGATACATATTGTAGTGCTCCTATTGCACTCCTATATAGCTTAGCATTTTCCATTGGTTCTCCTTCGAAGGGTGAAAAGGACTTGCCCACGACCACTGGTGTTCCACATGGCTTTAAATGACTCAAATTCAATCTTTCTAACAGGTCATTTATGTACTTTGTTTGAGTGAGATACATACCTTTCTCATTTATAATAACTTAAATGCCAAGAAAGTAATCAAGATCTCCTACATCCTTTAGAGCAAACATGTTGTTGAGTTGCTCGACGAACTTTTCAATCATTTGTTTACCATTTCCGGTCACAAGAATACCATCCACATAAACAAGGATAAAGAGAGTTTGATTACCTAGAGTGATGTGAAAAAGGGAGTTGTCAGATTTGCGATTCTTGAATCCCCACTTCGTAAGAGCACCTTTTAGACTATCGTACCAAGCTCGAGGTGCTTGTTTTAGACCATAGAGAGCCTTATTCAACTTACAAACATGATTGGGTCTTTTATGATCAATAAACCCCTCAGGTTGAAGCATGTAGACATTTTCCTATAGTCTTCCATTTAAGAAGGTGTTGTTTATGTCGAGGTACCTTATGTTCCATCCTTTTGCCACTCCAATAGTCAATATAATACGAGTGGTAGGAGTTTTTACCACTGGACTAAAGGTCTCATTGAAATCCAAACCTGGATGTTGATGAAAACTGAAAACCTTTTGCTACCAACCGCGCCTTGAGTCTTTGAATGGCTCCATTTTGATCGTACTTAGTCTTGAAAACCCATTTGTTCCCCACTAGATTATAGCTACTAGAAAAGGGAACTAGGTTCCAAGTATTATTTCTCTTTAAGGCTTCCATTTCCTCACTCATTGTCGATTTCCAGCCCTCATTTTTTAACACTTCAGCAACAGTTTGTGGCTCACTTTCAGCCTCTACTTTTCTCTGTTTTGCAGTTGAGTGGGTGAGATAATTTCTGATTTTTGACTTGAAAATTTCACTCTTAGACCGTGTTTGCATGGGGTGACTAACACCAGCCCTGTTTTCCTCTGTTTTGGACAGCACAATGTTCCTTCATTTTCAGTTTGCTTCACATTTGTGGTTTGACTATCAAAGAATTCTCTACCTTCAGTACCTTCAGTAGCATTTTGTATTGAAGTAGGTTCACAGTTGGGTGGTGCTTCAAGAGAGTTTGGGTCACTGGTGGTTTGACTATCTAATGGTATGGGAGACATACTTGGGTTAGACTGGGAGCTAGGCAGTAGTGATGGAGTATTGGAACGATTGTTTTGGAGGGTATTTTAATGAGGTGTATTCAACCAAGTTATAATGGTTTCATAGGATTGTTGAGTAGGTGGTGAGGTAGATAAGAAGCCATGTTTAAAGGGGAACTCCTCCTCGTTGAATATGACATTTCTAGAGACGTAGACACGACCACTTGAGCTTAAACATTTGTAACCCTTGTGTTCTTTACTATAGCCTAGGAAAACACATTTGGTGGAATGAAATTGGAATTTATGCATTTGGTATGGTCTTAAACATAAGCACGAGGAAGCAAACACTTTGAAGAATTTGTAGTCTATTTTTTTTTTTCCAAATGCCTTTCCAAAGGGGGACAAGTGGTCTAGAATAGGTGTAGGTAGGCAATTAATTTTATAGGTTGTAGTGAGAAAGGCATCCCACCAATATCTCAACGACATCGATGCTTGAGCTAATAAGGAAAATCCCATTTCCACTATGTGGCGATGTTTTCTCTCTACAATACCATTTTGTTCACTAGTGTGAGGACAAGTGTGTCGAAATTCTATTCCTTTGGCTTTAAAAAGAGGAGCAAAAGGCCTAAACTCTCCTCCCCAATCACTTTGAAAAATTTTGATTTTCTTGTCAAACCTATTTTCAACAAGACTTTGATATTGGTTAAAGGCACTGAGGGCTTCTGACTTCTTTTTTAAAGGGAAAATGTGTGTTAGCCTTGTAAAATTGTCAACAAAGCTAATATAATAGATAAAGCCCATTGTTGAGGAAATTGGTGAGGGACCCCAAAGATCACAATGAACAAATTCAAATGGTGCACTAGTCTTAGACGTTGATTGTTTGAAGATGAGGAATCGAGATTTTCCGAATTGACAAGCATCACAAAAGGTATAATTTCCATTAATGGGAATCCTTTCATTACAAATTTGAGTACATGGCTCAACACTCTATCAGACAAATGACCTAATCGTTGATGCCATATTTTCTTGATTTCATCACCTTCTTCAACATGAAATGTAGAATGATAGGAAGACTTAACCGGACATGGATACTTTGACTCAAGACTATGACTAGACACTAAATTGGATAACATGGCTTCATGAACATGAGTTGTTGGCTTGGGTAGATTTAGGTGAAGTTGATAGAGACCATCTTTAAGACTCCCTCGAAGCACCACCTTCCCTTTTGCCTTGTCCTTCACAAAACAACAATTTGAGTGAAATCCACAACAAAATTATTATCAGTAGTCAACTGGGATATGCTTAGTAAATTCCGTTTAATATTTGGGACATACAAAATATTCTTCAACTTAACAGATGAGTGCTTGCTATTATGTGCGTTGTGTCAAATATTGACAATCTTAAGTTTGGATCCATTACCCACTGATATAAGTTCATTATCCTGATAATTGGATTGGATTTAAAGGTTGGACAAGTCTTGACGTGATTGGATGCCCCACTGTCTGCTAACCAATTTGGATCGGCAACCACTTCTGGGTTGCAATGTAGGCTGCATTTGGATTGCTATTGTTTTGGCTTGAGGGTACAAAGTCCTTTTCAAACCTGTGAAAACAAATGGCTGCAAAGTGACCATATTTACCACATACCTGACAAGTAGGTTTGGAAGTGTTTCCTCTTTGACCTCTTCCCCGATGATTTCCTCTGTTACTTGGGTGGCTTCTTCCTTTACTTGTGGACTTTGAGTAACTTTGATTTGAGTTTGCATTTTTCCTATTGTAGGCCACATTAGCTGTAATATTTACAGCTTCAGAGTTTTGATTTCACATTTAGATTGATAAGAGTATTCTCAAATGTGATTAGTGTGGAGTGAAGTTCTTGCCATGTCTCTTCGCTCTTGTTGATCTAGCAAGTTATCGGCAAATATTCGGCATCCAGGTCGGAAACCACATAGGAGGTGAGGTCATTTATTGCAACGGATGTTCCAGCAAGAGCTAGGTTGTCTGCAGCTTCTTTCATAAGACTGAGATATTCACTCATCTTCATTGATTCTTTTTTAGTGTTCTGTAAAACCGCCTTTAGTTGTTGCTTCCGTGCCTTGTTCGTAGATCCATAAAGGTCTTCTAATGCTTTCCAAACTTGTCTTGAGGTAGAGAAATTGATGATTTCTGATGCTATTGCGGGGGTCATTGACCCGTATAGCCACCCAAGGAGAGCTTGATCCATTGTGGACCATGCTTCATATGCTGAATTTGGAGTCGGCTTCGACGAACCAGCCCGTTCTATTAGTAAGAACTCTGCGGGTTGTGCCTTAATTCCTAGTATGAAGCCATCTAGTTTTTGACCTTTCAGCACATCAAGAACCATCTTCCTCCATAGGATGTAGTTTTTCTCATCTAGCTTTACGGTGAGGGCTGTGGAGAGTGGATTTCCAAAAGGATGTATGGAGGTTGGGTTAATGGGGAGTAATGAGTTGACGGTAACTTGTGGGGTTTTAGGGTACCATCTCCAATAGCTTTAGATGAGCTTTCAATAGTTTCCATCAGTGGCATAGGGTATGGGTGAGCTGGTGGCTCTGATACCAAGTAAACAATTCAGGTCAAGGGAGGTGGCTCGTCAATCGAGGATGAGAAGATGGTTTCATTCTTAGCTTTGGAGCCAATAAATGGCCTGAGAAGAATGAGAACAAAATAGTACTCTAATGGGCCAAAGGAAGAAAACAAAATAATGCTCAACCAAGACAATTGGCTTATAGAAATAAATAATTAAACCACAATGCTAATTAATGAAAGACAACACAGAGAGCATGCACGGGACACGACTTCTCATCTTCCTTATGTTCTAACTCTGTAGAATGCAACACATGACTTATTACTATATTTACATTATCAATTTTTTTTTTTTTGTAAATATAGTAAGAGGATATGATTTTGTAAATATGATAAATTTTCAAAATTTTTTTACATCTACATAGATATTTTTACGAAATTTATTTTTCAGTTTTTATATAATACTCAGTTATGTCTATCAATCTAAGAACGACTTATGAGTGTTGCAAAGTGTCAACATCTTCCCTACATGCAAAAGACGTTGAACTTAAACTATGTTTATGCAAACTATTATCTTTCTCTAAAAGTAGCAATGAATCACATTTTAATAATGGTTAGTGATGACTCCGACCCTTTTTTCTCTAAAAGACACACCTTTTTAGAGTTGATTGCTATACGTCAAGATGTGGCAACAAAAATTTTGATGACAAGGCAGCTATTGATTAGAACGAGAATAGGATGAAGGGTGAGTAAAAAATACCAAAAAATGATCCGATCGATCAAAACTAATCGAATTGATGTTGGTTGGTTGGTTTGATGAAGGAATCTGTCGGAGTCGATTTTTTAAAATAAAAAACCGACATGTGGTCGGTTGATTTTAAAAAGTGTTTTAGAAATTTCTTAAACTAATTAAATACTTCCTACCTTTTAAAATTATAATAAATACTACCAATCTTTTACAAAAACACTTTTACACCTAGTGTGTGAATTGTTGTAGCTGTGTAAATAATTGTAGTAAGCTTTGCTTGGTAAATTTTAATTTTAAACATGAAAAAAAAGTTGGTAAATTAATCCTAAATCAATGTTGTTTTTGCTAAATTTTGATTACTTGAAAGCTTAGCCAAATTGAGAGTGAATCCAAGGAAAAACTTGTAAAATTGAAGAAAGGTGCTCCCACGCTCAAGTTAATAAGAATCCAAGCTATTAATTTGAATACAAACAATCAGATTTGTGTACGGTCTGCTTATGAAATTTACCTCTGTATTTGTAGGAGCTAGTATATGTGGCGACTGTTAGCCATTTTACACGTCGCGAGATTCCTGGCGTGATATCTGTTGATGCATTAATAATGCTCTCCCAAACCCTTTCGAGGCCCGCACCAGACTCGATTATTAGGGAATCGAAGACCTGCAAAATCTAACAAAGCTAGACCGGTTTGACTCTTGTCACACGGGCTCCGACTCCTAAGTTAGCAAGGAGAGTAGTTGAGCAATAGAATTCAAATGTAGAATTTGGCTTACCTTAGGGTTAGGCTACATGGCCTATTTATAGTCGCTCGCAAGGTTCTAGACCCCTCTAAATAAGCCCTAGCTCGTCGCTACAAGGCCCAAGGTGCATGGAGATCAGAAGAGGGCGATTACCTGGCTTGGCAATGGGTCGAACCCAGCTCGGTACCGAGCGATGCTCGGCTCGGTCCGGTTCTTCCGGTGGCCTCTTTGGTCCTCTCCTGTTTGGTTGGTCTATTGCTTTGTCGTTTTTCCTCTGTATAACAGTTGCCCCCTACTCCCAAGGCGATGCTTTTGATTTTGTCTCCATCTCCTTGGGAGTATGTTGATAGGAGTGTTGGAGCGCGTGAATAAGGAGCTTTACCGGGGGTAGTCAAATCGTACTTACTCTTTCATATTTTGCTAAATGGCATAAATGAAGGACCTTCTTGGCTGTCGCGCCCCCATAGTTGTCGTGACTTGTCATTCTATGCCAGGTCCATGACCAAGGAGGTCACGAACTCCTCTGGTACCGAGTGAAGCATGCCTCGGTCTCATGGTTGAAGTCCTTCAGTCAAAGCCAGTTGAGTTGCCCCATCATTGTGAGACTCGAAAGGGTCACGAGTTGAATTGTCCCCTCCCCGTAAGATACGTGATCGAGAATATCACGGGTTCCTCGGGTACCGAGCCAAGTAAGCCTCGGACCAATGTTCAAAGACCATCAAACCAAGAGCTATGCTCCTATGTTGAAAGCTATTTAAACCCCCTTCAACCCTTCCAATGTCGATCATCCCTTCAACTAAGGTACATTTCTCTTTACTTTGCTTTTGTTGTGTTTCCTTACCACTATGACATCTGATCTTAACTTTGAATAGACTTTTTCGGATGACGGGTCATCGTCGAACCCTTCTTCTGTGTCTCGACCTTACCGACCCTCTTGGGTAGATTATTCCACTCTTACGGCGAGGGACCACGTCGTTTGCATTCGAAGTATCGCATTCCTGATTCAGTTAGCCTTCACCTTCTGAATCCAGGAGAAAGTATTGGCGGGTCTTTCCTTTGAGAGGTTGTATTTTATGCAGCCATGTTCCAATTCGGTGTTCGTTTACCGTTGCCTCTATTTCTTCAAAATTTCATAGCTTTGAATCAAGTAGCTCCTTCTCAAATTGTTCCCAACGGGTGGTCTACCCTGATTAGTTGCTTCATTTTGTGGTCCTACCTCGGGGGTGAACAACCTCTAACCGCAGCCCATTTTATGTCGCTCTATTTCCTCAAGCATAGCCCTGAGGATAATTTTCATTTTTACATTAGCTCTCGGAATAAGATTCTCGTTATGGTTCCTTCCTCAGTGAAGCATTGGAAGGACAGGTGGTTCCTTGTCGGTGGCGACTGGCTAGCCCGTGACGAGAGAGGAATGCATTTTTCCGTCCCGACTGAGTGTAGGGAGCTAGGTAAAGTAGATTCCCGAGCTCTATCGGGACTTTTCGTAGATCTTTATTCTGATATTTTTCTTCCTTTGTTGATAGTTCCTCATAATTGTGAGCCTACTGCCGAGGCGTTTGACTTCTACCACACTTTCATCTAGTTGCTGGAAACCGGGCGTTGGGGCCCGAATCTAGTTAAGGAACAAAATCTAGAAGACTTTGGCTTGGCTCCCCCTCATTACCCTCCAGGTAATCGCTGAAAACTATTCCAAATATTTCATGAGAGTTGATTTTCACCTTCACCCATTTTGTAGAAATGTCGAGATGGAGCGCCTCCCTATTTGAAAGAGAGCGTCGCCGGAATGCTTGGGACTCAGGGGTCGGCTCCAGTCGGACCTCAGACATCGAGGTGACCGATTTGACAGAGGAAGACCCTTCATCTCGACAAGCTCGGCCTCCAATGCCTTATGCAACACCCCGATGTTTTGCTTGGCTTCAAGGGACGACTATCCCCTCTTCCTTTCGCAGTCACCCAGGGACCTCCTCTTATGTTTCAATTTTCCCTTTCTCTTGTCCGTACAACGCTGATGTCGACAAGGCAATTTAGCTGGAGAGAGCGTTTAGCCTTTGGCAAGGGCTCAGAGAATCGTCGAGTGGGTCGGATTTCGGCTTGTCGGATCCTCGGCACAACATCAATGCATGCATTAGCGATCTCCATCAGGTGAACATTTGTAACTTTAAGTACTTGCTGTAACATTTTTACCTAACGTCGATTTCTGACTTTGGCAGGTTTTTAATCGTCTGGTGGTATTCTCGGGTCGAGTTGCAGATGAGATCAACCACCTTCGCTGTCATTATGCCCCTCAAGAGGAGTTGGATCGAGCTCTCTCCTCCTTGGATCAGGCCAATAGCCTCTTGGAGAGCGCTCGACGTGAGTTGGAAACTGAGAAGAGAAAATCCCGAGATGAACTCGCCAACCTGCAAATGATGCTTGATGAGGCCAACTCACAGCCCTCCAACTTTGAATTCTTGGCCGGAGAATTCAGGAAATCGGAAGAGTATGTTGATTTACAGAATGTTGCCATGGAGTGTGGCGTCTCCTAGTCTCTTCGCCAAGTTTCTACCAAGCATCCCAACATTGACTACTTCTTTCTCCAGGAACGCTTTAAAGTCGAGCGTGATGCCCCCAACGACATGGATGATGACGACGACGATGAGTAGGATGGTGGAGAGCCACTTTGTCTGGTTGATCGCTTTTATGATCTGGCTATTGTTATGTTGTTGTCTTGTCTTTATTTGTAGCTACCTTTGGAATTATCAATCAATTCTCTATTACCAAAAATTATTGGCTTACGGCTCTAACTTTGATGGAGCTGATTTTCGTTGCCTTTACTTCTCATAGGTTTCTAACCCCTTGGCTGTGGCCAATGGTTTTGTACCTTTAGCTACTGTTGTTTGGCTTTTGATTTTGTTTCATCTTGTGTTTTAATCATGCTACGCTTCTGGTTTGGTCGTGTTTGAGATCTTTTATTGTTCTTTCCAATTCTTGTCGATCGATGCAGATTGATGTACTGATATGCCCCCTACTTGAGGAGTACACAACAAAGTTGATAGGGAGTACTCAAGTACGTAGACAATGGATACTTTTATTGATAACGTGAAAACAAATAATCTTGAAAAACAAAACGAAAGAGAAATAAAGAATTTTAAACCTATCGTATACTTTTTGGTTAATGGTCACCTGCAGTAGAAGCCCTATCATTGTTCTTCATAGAATCATAGTAGCACTCACGTGATACTCGTTGCTCTCTTGGATCTCACCTATTCCACCAAGTGTTGGGAATTTCATAGACTGGTGGTATGTGGATGGTATTGCTTTGACCATGTGCATTGTTGGCCTTCCTAATATCACATTATAGGAGGACGCATAGTCGACTGACTAAAAAGTCTACCATTTTAGTGATGCCTTTTGACCCGCTTCCGAATGCCACCGGCAATTCTATTCTCCCTTTTGGGATGACCCATTTACCAAGATCCGAGTGATGACCAGTGCATTGGCTATTTTCAGAGTAATGACCAGTGCATCGTTATGTGGGTGGAGGAGGTGAGTCGCCTCATCCTCTGAGAACTTGATTTTTGTCGGTTGTTCTGCAACAAATGCATGGTAGATCTCATGTTATCTGAGGCTCGTCCGGGTTTCTCGTGTGCTCGCCTTTCTCTTTCTGCAAGATTCTGTTTCTACCGAACCTCCCATTATTGTTCGGATTTCTTGAGCGGGTGACTTACAGTCGTTCTCACCATTTTGCATTACTTTAGGATCCTCCACATATTCTTTGAGATATCCTCTCCGGATGAGTCCTTCCACGTCTTCTTTGAGATCGAAGTAATCCAGAGTAGCATGGTCGTGGTCTCGATGGAAAAGGTAATATCGCTCCTTCCTTTTTTTACTTGGTGGTGCTTTCATCCTTTCACATTTGAGCAACCTTTGGTCTTTGATCTCCATCAATACTTGTTTGAGTGGGACCGTAGGTGGGGTATACCTCTCGAACTTCCGGGGTGGATCATTCTGGCTAGTCTGATCTCTTTTCTCTCATCTCGAGGACTGTGGCTTATCCACATACCTCTATCTCTTGTGGTCGAACTGTTTTCCCTCTGGCTCTTTCTTTAAGTGGAAGAACTCTTCGGTGCTAATATACTTTTGAGCTTGGCTCAGCGCCTTCGAGAAGGTGTCGATGTCTTTTTCCCAAAAGAGAATGAAAGGTGTTTATCCTTGATGTCAGACATGAAAGCTAGCAGAGATACTGCATTCGTGAGACCCTCAACCTATACTTGTCCTCATTAAATCGAGCCACATAGTCGTGAAGGATCTCTATTGCCCTCTGTTTGATGTCAGAAGATAAGCCACGGGTCGGCTTCGGCTTCACCCTCCTACGAACTGGGTCACAAATGCCTTGGCTAGGTTCTTGAAACTCGAGATCGAACCTCGCTTCAGCTGTCGAAACCATACCCTGGTTGACCCACTCAAAGTTGTCAAGAACACCCGACATCTGATGCCTCTGACACCTCGTAAATATCCATTCATTCTCGATAGGCGTCAAGGTGGTCTACTGGGTTGGCCGACTCGTCGAATTGTTCACCGTTGGTAGCTTGAATTTTGGAGGGACCTTTTCCCCCATGATTTATTCTATAAATGGCGAGTCGGCTTGATCCAGTAGCTCTTTGAGATCGAACCCCTTCTCCCTTTGACTTTGTTGCTTTTCTTACAACTCAGGCCGATCTTCCGATTTGTCTTTGTCGAGGTCTATGGGCTCCGTGTTTTGTTTATCTTGGTTGCTCTTGCCCCCATCTGGTATCGGGATTTGTGTCACTTTTTTGCTTTTTTGCTAGCCTTGGGAGTCAAAAATTCGAGTTCATCATTTGATATTCCCTCCCAGCCTCAGCTTGCTCCTTGTACTGTTCGTTCACTCTTCAGTCCAACTCTTTACTGGGCCTTTTCCCTTTCGGGGGTCTTTGATGAGGCACTTCGCTGACCTCCCATTGTTCTAGTTGTTGAAGTAGTTGGGTCATGCGTTGAAACATGTCCTCTACCTTTTCTTCCAAGGCTGTGAATTGACTTTGGAGCTGTTTAGAGGCTATTGTTGTAGGTACCTCAGGCGGCCCTTTTTGGCGTTCCGGGTTTTGTCGACTCAATCCCGTCTCGCCCTCGGGTCCTCCTATCTGGGGATCATCAAAGTTTAACTTCCTATTTGCATGGTAGTCATCGTTAGAGCATCGTGGACTTCTTTCCGGCGTCATGCTATTTGACTGTACGGCTTGTTTTTCCCCTGAGACGGCGCCAATTGTTGATGCATTGAAATGTTCTCTCAATTCCTTCCTTGGTCCGCACCAAACTCAATTATTAGGGAATCAAAGACCTACAAAATCGAACAAAGCTAGACCGGTATGACTCTTGTCACACGGGCTCCGATGCCTAAGTTAGCAAGGAGAGTAGTTGAGCAATGGAATTCAAGTGTAGAATTCGGCTTACCTTAGGGTTAGGCTACATGGCCTATTTATAGTCGCTCGGAAGGTTCCAGACTCCTCTAAATGAGCCTTAGCTTGTCGTTGCAAAGCCCAAGGTGCATGAAGATTAGAAGAGGGCAATTACCGAGCTTGGCAACGGGCCAAGCCCGGCTAGGCACCGAGCCATGCTCGGCTCAGTCCGGTTCTTCCCATGGCCTTTTTGGTCCTCTCCTGTTTGGTTGGTCCGTTGCTTTGTCGTTTTTCCTCTGTATAACAATATCAATATTGGTAAAAAGTTGGGGGTTGACAAGTGATTTCAAATCATACCTCAACTTTGAACTTTACTTAAATCAGGGTCTAAAAGTAGCCACTGATTACAATATTCATCCGACTCCAGGCGCGAGGTGTTGCACCTTGAACTCCAATGACCCTTTTTTTTTTTTTTTGATTTAGCTATAACAAGCTATATAGATTCAGGGCACTTTCCACACACTACACACTGATGAGAGGCATCAATTCCCCGCTGCCTTAGGGTGGCCATCGATGGTAGATAATCATTAAAGGCACGCCAACTGAAGAGCTTAATTTTTGGGGAATTTGAAGCTTCCACAAACATTTCCACCAAGCACCACCTTTGTTCTCACTCGAAGATCCCAACTCCGGAACTAAAGACATAGCTAATTTGTAACCACTCTTCATCGAATAGGATCCATGTTGGTTTAGATTATGTGACCAATTATTATATGTGCAAGTATATACAATCGTTGCAGTAAGTAATAAAAAGTTCGAATCCAAAGAGACTAAGTGCTCAAACACTCATTATTCATCCAAGAAATCAGTGTATTAAACTAATTAATTTTTCTTCTGAATAAATGCTAAAATAAACAGTAATGCAGGCGGTTCAAATATATTCATAAACACATTTAATATCCGCTAAAGCTACCAAACATGAACAACCAACGAGTAACTTCTTATGAAAATAAGGGCGTGATGGGGAGAGAACAATGACTCTTTCTAGGCTACTATAACGATGTTGCAGCATTAATGAAGTGAAGTAGTGATCAAACAGAAAATATGCTTTTTCAAACATCCCAGATTTTCTACCATTAGGGTTCTTAGACAAACAATAACATCATATATGAATAGTTTTTAACAAAGCCAGGTGGTGCTTATCCCTAAGTTACCATACTCTAACTCATGTATAATCTAGCTCGAGATGAAGTTTTTCGCTCCCTAATACATTTTTCCAAAGGTTATTAAGAAAATATTTCAATATAGTGATCAAGCACATTTAAAATAGAGTGATACAACGACTTTAACTCAAAACACATTATCATCAATGCAGAACAACAAAGTTACAGCCCTTAAAATGAGTTTACAACATCCCCCCTACACAAGATGTTTAGCTAGACAATGCCATTAGGGGAATCAAAAATATAGGAATCAAAACAATACAAAGAGCTTAAAAGATGAAGAGAGGGAGCTGAAGATCAGCTCCCAACAAGAGTTCTCGGCTTCTTTCTCAGCTACAGTTGTCTGGTCTTCTTCTCCTTTTGACTTTCTCAAACAGTTGGAGAGGTTTTCTTGAAGTGGGGGTTGAGCGATTTCAAGAATTAATGGAATAGTCTTATGTGTGTGTCCGAAGGCTTCTCTTTCTTGTGGCCTTTATACTTCCCTTCGATTTAGGGCAACAAAACAAGCACTGTGGAACCCAGCTCTCACTCCCAAGTGAAATCTCCAATTATTGTGGTAAATTTCGTTGAGAAGTCTTTTCACTGCCAGCTTGCTGCTTTTTTTCTCTTTTTGGACCCGATGTTGTAGCATCATCAAAGCTGCAGCAAAATGCTCAAAATTAGATCATTTATATAAGTACTAGCATTATACAGGAGAACCTTGATTTCTTTGCTAATTGAGGCACAACTCAGTAAATATGGGGACTAGATAGGCTATCTTTAGCTATATTATGCGAATTTTAGGCACAAATAACTATCTTTAGGAGAGTTATCAATCCACTCCTATCATAATGCCACACCCACTCGTCTGATTACTCGAACCCACTAATAGGAATCTTGGTAATAGTATTCAAATCCTCCTCATTTACCAGGCCTTTCAACTGCTGAACATCCCATTGTTTGGTACTATAATGAAATCTGACATTAAGTAATATGCTCAAGTTGGGCATACCGAAGTGAGCTTAAAGGTGGACTCCATAGGAATCAATTTGTCTTTGAAGAGATTTATTGAAAACCCATTACCAACTCAATATCGAAGCCCTTTTCCAAAAGATTCCTCTCCCACAAAAGACCCTTCCACAGGTAGGAAGAAACATTGGTGTAAGAGGCCGAACGGATATTCGCATCTGGGAAGTAGCAGCTCTTTAAAATTTTAGATACCAAAAGGTTTGGAAACTTAAGAATATGCCAAACTTGTTTTGCAAGTAAAACTTGGTTGAAAGTTCCAAACTCCCTAAAACTTGGTTGAAAGTTCTTCCAGTGTAGTTTCATCTTACTTTTAGACTACCCACACTAAAACCTAGCAATTATCGCTCCACGTCTTTACAAAAACCTTGTGGAAGCAGAATACAACTCATCGTATAAGAAGGAATAGATTGGCCTGTACTTTTAATGAGAACCTCTTTACCACTAGCCGAAAACACATTCCCTCTCCAACCTTGAACTGTTTTCCAGATTCTCTCCTTCAAAGCACTAAAGTCATCTCCTTTCCACTTAGAAAAGCAAAAGGGAAGTCCAAGGTAGTTGCCAAAGTTTCAGACCACCTAAACCTCTAAAATTTGTTGGAGATATTGCTTACATTCAGACCTCACGAAAGGGGAAAAATACAGAGCTGGCTTACTAAAATTTACACATTGACCAGAAGCTTTTTCATAATGAAAAAGGAGTTGCTTGATCCAAGCACATTCATTGGCGATGGCTCTGAAAAAAAATCAAATTGTCATCCTCCAAGAAAAGGTGAGATAAACTTGGGCAACTATTATTTATGGTGATACCAGAAATGTGGCCTCGGTTAGGAGCATCCCACAAAAGGGAGGACAATCCATCTGCACACAAAAGGAATAAGTATGGTCACTACAAGATTGAGCTGTTTCGACCCCCTTTTATCAAATGTTATTGAAAACCTTTGAAAAACATACATTTATCAACAAATTTTTAAAGCCTTTGAAAAATATATGATCTTTATCGAAGGTTTTTAGAAAACCTTTGAAAATTATGTACTTTTTTTTATCAAAGGTTATTAAAAACTTTCGAGAAAATACACATTTATCAACAAATTTCATAAACCTTTGAAAATTGTGTTATCTTTTACTAATGTATTTTCAATACCTTTAAAAATTATTCACTATTTTATCGAAGGTTATTAAAAACCTTTGAAAAAACAATACATTTATCAACAAACGTTTGAAACCTTTGAAAAATATATGATTTTTTATCGAAGGTTTTTAGAAAACCTTCGAAAATTATCCACTTTTTATCAAAGGTTATTAAAAACCTTCGAAAAAGATACAAATTTATCAACATATTTCATAAACCTTTGAAAATTGTGTTATCTTTTATCGAATGATATTTTGAAGCCCTTTGAAAATTATTCACCTTTTTATCCAAGGTATTGAAAACCTTTGGAAAACAATATATTTATCAACAACCATTTGAAGCCTTTGAAAATATATGATATTTTCTGGAAGATTTTAGAAAACGAAAATTATGCACTTTTTATCAAATGCACTTTTTATCAAATGTTATGAAAAACCTTTGAAAAAGATACACATTTATCACAAATTTTATTAACTTTTGAAACTTGTGTTATTAATTTCTATGGAAGGTATTTTATTGAAGGTGGCTAAAAACCCAACTTTTGAAAAAGTTTATAAGCTATTTAAAGAATATTAACTTCTTTTTATCGAAGGTGATTAAAAACCTTCGGAAAAATGTTGAAAAACATATTCCACCTAAAAAATTCGAAATTATTTCTTTTTATAAAAATTATTTGAAGGTTAACTAAAACCTTTGAAAAATGTATAAATTTTAATTGAAGGTTATTAGAAAGTGTCGAAAAAGATATATAATATTATTATTAAAAGAGATTTCATTTAATTTACTTTCTAAAAAAATAAAAATAAAGAAATTTACCAGCAGCCTGAAATCGAGCTCTAAATCCCTTCGCTGGCTAGTTTCTTCTCCATTCTTTCCATCTTGCGCCAAAACCAGAGGTTTAAGCTTTCGGCCTACTCGCTCGTTTCGAATTCGATAATCTTGCTCGGCAGAATTTTATTCAATAGGTTCGTGGAATACTTGAATTCTCTCTTCCTCGCATACGTAGCTTAGTTTATTTTAAGTATTGTGCTTAAATTCATCTGGAGTTTGGAAAATCTTTTTAGTACGTTTGTGTTTGGTTAATTGAGAAAATCAATGTGCATTTTTAGTAGAAATATAGTTATATTTCTAGAAACGGCAGGATGACGATTGTCATGAATTGCTTTCCGGTTATTATTTCTCAAAATAAGAGTGAAACCAAATTTTTTTGGACGTAAATCCCTAGACGTAGACTGTAAATAGTAAATTCGGATAACATTATCTACATTTTGAATGAATTGACAAGTATATGTTTCTCGCTTGCTTTGGTAGATGAATTTGAGTATATACAGAAATTTCATATATATGAGTCGTAATCGTAAGTACTTCATCGCATCTAGCAAGTTGCATCTGTACAAAACCTAAATTTTAGGGTGCCTTTTGAAATGTTTTTAAAGCATTACTGTCGTTTAGTTTTTGATCTTCTAGTTTTAATCTGTTTAGGGCCGTTTAGTTCACCCTTTCTTTATAATTTCACAAGAACTGACAGCCCATTAAATAGTTTTGCAGCAATAAACCAGCTCTCAAGATTTGCTCTATGTTTCCTGTCCAGAATTTGGGATCTTCTTTGTGTTCTTTCTTTCTTCTCTTTTCATTTGCATAATTTTGAATTGGTGCTCTTTAGAATGCACTTTCAGGTTTGGTTTTCTTGGATTAGGCTGTAACGAAGAGGTTGGTTTGATGATCCAAATTTGAGTTTGTGACATCGATTTATTTGCCTTCTTATAGTGTTATGAATGAAACGTGACTCCTGGTCTAGTTTCTCTGTACTGCATCTTTCTGTAATTGTAACATTAATGTCTGAAAATCTTTTATGCCATTTGATCAAGAAATTAAAAATTATTTGAAGAGGAATGAATAATATAGGATGTTTTAGACTTTTAGGGATAGAAAAGAGAAACTAAAAATAGAATTTGGAGGGGATTGGATTACTGAAATTTACGATTAAGAAACTTTGTGTGAAGCTTAAAGAAGGGGGGAAGGAGTTGGGGATTGTGTGTGCTGAGAGGGATGAAGTGAAGACTGCTATTGATGGCATGAGAGCTTTGCTGGTTGATTTTAAGAAAAATCGAGAAATCCATGTTGGGAGTGCTTCAACATTTCAAGAAGATGGTGAATAAGATTGAGAATTCGGAGGCTGCTGTGGAAGCCACGAATCGACAATTTTTTTCTGTAACGGAGGATTCCAAAAAGACTACTTTTAGTTTAGTGATAAAACAAAAGAATAAATCTGAGTTTGAAAAACCAATGATTGAACATCTGAAAGCTAACCACACTTGTTTGGAGAAAGAAGCAATGGAAGAATTTGGTAGTGGAGATGCAGTCCATAAGAGTGGTGATGTGATCATATTTGACCCAAAGCTCCAAAATGCCACCTACACCAACAATGAAGAGAAACTTGAAGAAAGACCCACCAAACGAAGAAAACTTCATTCGACCCATCAACAAATTTTTACCATATTGAAGGCCAACGAAGAACCTACTAGGGTCAAGAGGAAGCTTGGAAGGGAAGAGAAGCCAAGCGAGTGGCCCCACTTCAAGGACAAGCCCATCTAGAGGTCAACCACATGCACGCACAGCAAGGCGCATGCCACTGCGTGCACGCGCCCCTGTCGCACACACTACCTTGCCGCACGAACCTCACAGTGTGCCCCCAGCCGCATGCGTCCTTACCTTGTTAACCTCATACCG